CCTCTTGGAAGGCCACCCCCGTCGCGCCACTCCTTGAGGGGACGTCCAAGAAGGGGGGTCGCGAACGGCGACCTGCGAGATTGCACCTCGAGCGTGCCGCAGGGAGGGGCCGAGGCGCCCAGATGCCGGTAGAACGCGCAGAGTGTAAGGAAACTCTGCGCATTCCTGCTCAAGGCTCGTCCCTGAGCTCGTCGCGCCATGCGTGCAAGAGTGCGGCGTGCGTCACACGGTGACGGATGTGTGCGCTCGGACGAATGGGGGGACCACGGGACGTCTCGAAACGAGATGGGGAGCCATGAGATCCTGGGAGGTATCGTAGCCCCTGCCACGATATCCACTCCACCTTCATATGATCAATCGCCCTCTTGGACTCTCCCGAAGTCAGGAAGGGATCGACGGCACCCCCTCTTCGCCGCCCCTCTTGGACGAAGCCGGATCGGATCGAGACAGGCACGAAACCCCGGGAGCGTCCAGACCTGGGCATGCTCGCGTGTTTTTCCGACCCCACAACCCCCGAAAAGGATTTAGAACTGCGGGGCACGGAACAGTTCCCAAGAACCTCAATTGGACGATGGGCAGTGGCAATGCAGATCAATGGTGACGACACTGTGCCAGGGGGGGTGTTGTGCTGCTCTGCGATGTGCCGCGCCGCACAGTGGCGTGCCAGGGGATGCCCCACTGACCGTGCCAGTGGACGTGCCAGGGGACGTGCCAGCGAGCCGCACGATGTGCAAGGGGGACGCGCCACAGAACCTGCCCGAACTGATTTGGATCTTAAGCTCGAGCTGCCTGACGGCCTGACTCGCCCAGAGCTAGCTCAAGCCGAAGGCCGTAGACGCAACTCAGTTCCGAAGCGGGACGAGACGACACGGGGCGCAAGGCACATGGACGCGCCACGGAATGTGCCAGGGGCGCACTTGGGATGCGCCAGGGCACGTGTCAGGGGACGTGGCAAGGGACGTGCCACGGAACGGGCATGGAAGCGCCAGGGGACAAGCCAGGAAACGCGACAGAGGACGAGCCAGGGGACGCGTCGAGGGAGGACGGGCATACGCCGTCCCGCTGAAGCTTTAGGAACACACCAGATTTCACGCTTGTCCCGCTTTGGTGCATCAAGAACCCATATCTTTTCACGCTTGTCCCGCTCTGACGCGTTAGCAAACCATGTGTGTTCACAATTGTCCCTCTCTGAAGCGTTGGGACCCCATGCGTTTTCACGCTTGTCCCGCCTTGGGGCGCTCGGAACATACGTGTTTTCACGTTTACCCCGCTCCCGGGCGTTAGAAACATGTGCGTGTAACGCTTGTTCCGATTTGGGGCGTTATGAAGCCACGTGTTGTCACGCTTGTCCCGCTCTGGACCGTTAGAAACCTAAGTGTTTTCCCGCGTACCTAAGTGTTCTCACGCGTGCCATGCTCTGGGGCGTTAGGCACCCACGTGTTGTCACGCTTGTCCCGATCTGGAGCGTTAAGAACCCATGTGTTTCCATCCACGTGGTCTGACGCTTGTCCCGCCCTGGGGCGTCATAAATCCATGCGTGTTCACGCTTGTCCCGCCTCGGGGCGTCAAAGAATCACGTGTTGTCATACTTTTCCAAACAAACGTGGTCTCACGCTGGTCTCGCCTTGGAACGTTCGGAACCCACGTGGTGTCCCGCTCACGTGGTTTCACGCTTGTCCCCATTTTGGCGCGTTAGCAACAAACGTGTGTTCACGCTTGTCCCGCTCTGGGGCGTTCGGAACATATGCGTTGTCATGCTGTCCCGCGCTGAGGCGATTGGGACCCACGCGTGTTTGCGCTATCTCTGTGGGGCGCTCGGAATCCACGCCTTTTCACGCTTGTCCCGCTGTGGGGCGCTGGGGCGTTAGAAACCAACATGGTCTCACGCGTGTCCCGCTCTGGGGCGTTCAGAACCCACGTGTTGTCACGGTTGTCCCGCTCTGGACACCCAGCCGCGCGTTGTCAAGCTTGTCCCACTCTGGGGCGTTAGGGACCCACGTGTTTTCACGCTTGTCCCGCCCTGGGGCGTCAAGGGACCATGCGTGTTCACGCTTGTCCCACTCCGGGACCGTTAGAAACCCATGTGGCGCGTCAGCAACATACGTGTTTTCACGCTTGTCCCGCTCTGGGGCGCTGGAAACCATATGTTTTCACGCTTGTCCCGCTCTGGGTCGCTGGGAACCCACATGTTTTTCCGCTGTCCCGCTCTGGGGAGTTAGGAAGCATGTGTTTTCACGCTTGTCCCGCCCTGACGAATCAGGAGCCCATTTGTTTTCGCGATTGCCCCGCTCTGGGGCGTCAGGAACCCATCTGTTTTCACGCTTGTCCCGCTGTGGGGAGCTAGGGAAACATGCGTTTTCAAGATTGTCCCGCTCTGGGGCGTTAGGAACCCACGTGTGTTCACACTGCTCCCGCCCTGGAACGCTGTAAACCAATATGATCTCAGGATTGTCTTGCCCTGTCGCGTTAGGAACCCGCATGTTTTCACTCGTGTTCCGCTCTGGGGCCGTCAGGAACCATCTGTTTCCCGCTCTGGGGTGTTAGAACCCATGCGTTGTCACGTCTGCCATGCTCTTGGGCGCTAGACATCCACGTGCTTTCAAACTTGTCCCGCTCTGAAGCGTTCGCTGAGGATTTTTGTTTTGGGCGCCGTTGCCCTACCAATTCCGGCAAATCAAGCAGGTCACCGCGACCTGTTCGCGGTCTCCCGCGCAGCAACGCGGGCACGGATGGCCCCCAAAAGTGGCAGCGGTGCGGCAGAGGCCCGCAGGGCGCTCCGCCGAGCAACCTCAAGCACAATCGTTGCCCCCCTGCGCTCGACCCTGTCTTCGGGTTCGGCGCACGAGACGGAGACATTTCGCAGCGGGCGCAGGCCTCGTCGCAAACGGGACAGCACCTGCATCCCGCTACCCACGCAGCCTGGCTTGCAAAGTGCCGCCAGCTGACGCATCTCGCGTTGAGAGCAGGCTCCGCGCGCAAAAAGGCAGAAACACAGAGGGGCCGCTCGTCCCCGGCATGCGTGCTCGCCAGCTTGCGCCCGTTCCTGGGCGCCGTCCGTTCCCGGGCGCCGACGCGCGCAACTCAGCCACGCGCTCGGGGAACCCTCCGCAGCCCAGCTCAGGTCTGTCGTGGAGGGCACCCCCATAGAAATCAAGATAGCGGGCACAGCGGTAGCACCGCAGAGCGGGTTCCCAGGAGTGCCACGACGTCTTTGTACCAAACATCTTGCGAGGGCGAGACCTCTTAGAGGGCCTCTGGCGAGCAGCCCGGGGAACGCACGGCAGCACGGCCGCGGCCACTCTCGCAACATACTCGATCTGCCTGGCCGCACACTGAAGTCCTCTGTACTCGGCCTCAGACGGCCTGGGGTGGATCTCGATGGCCTTCTTGGCCTCAAGGTCCGCCCTCCAGTTAGCCTGTCCGATCCTACGGTCGGGCTGCGGCAGCATGTCTATATCCTCCAGCTTGCGGTGCGCAGGCGCGTGAACAGCTGGGGCCTACTTTCGACTGGACACATGGAGAAGGGCACCTCTCCTCACGCCCCAAATTGCCGTTTGGGGGCCATCTGATCCAATGGGGACTTGCTATGCAGTTTCACCGCGTTCAGACTGTCACTGCAGCACGTTGTCGCCAGGCCCAGCACAACAATAGGAAACAGCGCGAGCTGCAGCTGCTCCGCAGCCTGGATGATCTGCGGGGGTGATGGCCGCACTGCACCCCGCGAGACATACTTTTGCTCACCCTGTTCGTTGAAGAAAACACAAGAGCACGCCGCCCGAGATAAATCCCGCATGGTGCGGGGCATACATGATACAGCTTCCGCCTGATATATTCAAGTCACGCCAGACACCTTCCACTGAACCACCGTCCCATCACTATCACATAGAACAGGCGCGTGATCGTCACGCATGAGTGGCCAGGAACTGACAGGATGCTCAATCTTCAACCCTCCATGCATATTTAAATCGCCTCTGATCGCATCCTGGCAGAGAAGCGGTGGTAACTCCAGCGAGCCCCTCGCCTTGACCACCTCTGCGCGCTGGCTCTGGCGCAACGGCGTCCTACCGAGTCATGTTCCTGACATGTCGGGCACAGTCCAGCCCCGAGGTAGCCAGCTTTCATCGCGCGATCTTCGGTCCAGAGGCCTTCGTGAAAGGCCAATCTCACAAGATACTTACCCTGGGCCGTAAGGCCGATCGCTTTGGCCCGCGGCATCACGAGCCTACGCTCAGGCGCAACACAAGCACGCCCCCCCAAGACTCCAATCCAACTTGGCCGCCAAGGCCCTCTCGTGAAAACGCTGGACCCCACTTTTCCTGAAGGCTGGCGATCATGGACGGGGCGGTGAAGTCAGGCTGTGCTCAACTCCTCTATCGTCAAACCAATCGAGCGGGGCCTCCGCCCTCCATCCGACGCGGCCTAAGGAAAGGTGCATCCTACCGGTAGGGCCCCGAGGTTTACCCCAAGTGAGTCCTGCCCTGACCACCTCCCTCCCCATGGCGCGCAGGCCCTGGATCGAGCAAAAACGCGACGTTGGGCCTCGCGGCGGCGCTCCACACCGCCTAGGCCCCCGCAGTAGCGGGAGCAACCATGCTCCTCCACAAGGGGGTCGCCCACGACCGCAAGCTTGGCCCTCGTAGAGACACCTGCATGCCGTAAAGCACGCCGCGCGCGCGCTTAAGTTCCCCATCGGTCACGCCAACAATCGCGCCCCCACACGCGAGGGCGGGTTTGACTCCAGCCGTGTAGATCTTCCCCATGCGGCCCCTGTCCCTGGGAAGGGCCCTCTGGTACCGTCGCAAC